GCCGGCCCTTTAAATGCTGCAGCCGCCTGCGCTCTGTTAAGAGCCTCAGGCGGCTGCAGCACATATTCTCCCCTCCCCTGTAGCTGGCCGAGCTGCTCCGCTGTCCACGGTGCCGGCCGGACTGATAGGAAGGAGTGTGCACTTCCTGTCAGTCCGGCCGGTTACAGGAAACAGAAACTCCGCGCGGAACAGGAGTTTCTGTTTCCTGTCACCGGCCGGACTGACAGGAAGTGCACACTCCTTCCTATCAGTCCGGCCGGCACCGCGCACAACAGAGCAGCTCGGCCACGCTACAGGGGAGGGGAGAGAAAGTGAGGGGGGGATTAAACAGCACCTAAAGAGGGAATTAAGGAGGGGGGAATTGCTAGCTGAAGGGGAGGGGGAATCTAAGAAGAATTGGGAGGGGGAAATTACAGTTATTGGGAAATTGGGCAAAGAGGGGGGGAAATTAAGGAGGGGGAATTCAAGAAGAAGGGGTAGGGGGGAAATTAAGAAGAAGGAGGGGGAATTAAGAAGAAGGGGAGGAGGGGGAATTAAGCAGCTGAAGGGGGGGAATTAAGAAGAAAGGAGGAGGGGAACTAAGAAGAAGGAGAGGGGGTGAAATCTAAAAGAAAGGGAGGGGGAATTAAGAATGAGAGGGGGGAATTAAGAAGAAAGGAGGGAATCACAGCTAGCTGAGGGGAACTCAAGGGCCATGGGGGTAATTGCCAGGATGAGGGGTGGGGGATTGAAGAAGGATGGATCAAGAGAAGTGGGAGGTGGGGGGGATTAAGAAGAATCCCAAGTGGAGGATTGAAGAACAGAGGGGTGGGAGATTAAGAAGATTAGGGAATTGGGGGAATTCAAGAAGAAGGAGGAGGGGGGAATTGCTAAAAAAGGGGGATTAAGAAGAAGGAGGGGAATCAAGAAGAAGGAATTCAAGAAGAAGGAGGGGGAACTAAGAAGAAGGGGAGGGTGGGAATCTGAAGAAGAAGGGGAGGGGTGGAATCAAGAAGAAGGGGAGGGGAAATTAAGAAGAAGGAGGGGAACCGAAGAAGGAGGGGGAATTAAGAAGAAGGGGGCACTGGCGAAGGAGGGTGGATTAAGAAGAAGGGGGAGGGATTAAGCAGAAGTGGGAGAGGTGGGGGGATTAAGAAGAACAGGGGGTGGGGGATTAAGAAGAACAGGGGTGGGGAGATTAAGAAGATTTGGGGGAATTAAGAAGAAGGAGGAGGGGGAATTAAGTAAAAGGGGGGATTAAGAAGAAGTGGAGGGGGGAAATTAAGAAGAAGAGGTAGGGGGAATTAAGAAGGGGGAGGGGGAATTAAGAAGAAGGTGGGGGATTAAGAAGAAGGGGGGATTAGAAGAAGGGGGAGAGGTGGGGGGATTAAGAAGAACGGGGTGGGGAGATTAAGAAGAACAGGGGGATTGGGGGAATTAAGAAGAACGGGGGATTAAGAAGAACGGGGTTAAGAAGAACAGGGGGAGTAAGAAGAACACAGAGAGGAGGGGGAGGACACAGGGAGGAGGGGAGAGAAGGGGAGATGAGGAGAACACAGGGAGGGTGGGGGAGTGAGAAGAACACAGGGAGGGTGGAGGGAGTGAGTAGAACACATGGGGGGAGGTGAGGAGAACACATGGGGGGGAGTGAGAAGAACACAGGGAGGGAAGGGGCTGAAAAGAATACCGGAGGTTTGGGGGGGGGGATGAGAAGAGCACAGGGAGGGTGGGTGGGTGTGAGAAGTGACTGCTAGGGAAGGGTGGGGGGAGAGACCACTAAGGGGCAGGGGAGAGCTCTATAGGACAGGGGGCAGGACAGGGAGCTCTTTCACACTACGCGCACACACACACAATGCATCCCTATACATACACAAACACACAATGCACCCCTACACACACAGAAACACAACATGCTTCCCTTACACACAGAGAAACACACAATGCATCCATTACACACAAAGACAATGCATCCTTTGCACACATACATAGAAACACACAATGCAAACCCTTACACACACAAGAAAACACACACTGCTTCTCTTACATATATACAGAAACACAATGCATTTCATACACACACTCAATGCACACACTACTGACACACACCTTGCATCCCTTATGCATACAAACACAGATTCACACAGTACATCGCTTATACACAAAAACACACTGCCTCCACTACAAATACACCGCATCACCTACACAAACTGGTATCCCTATACACTACATACCATAAGCACACACATTAGATCTACATCTACAATAACACATAACACATCCCCTACACACTCCTCTCCCTGTGAGCGAACTCATGGGTGGAACATGTAGGTGGACTTTTAGGTGGGCCTTATGGGCATACTCACCGTCAGGCCCTGGGACCCAGACCTTGAGCTGTTTAAGGGCCCCGAAAAAAATGGAGCTGCTTCCCATTCTACTAGAACTTTGAATTTTGTGACCACAGTTACAAACAGCCTTCAGAGATCCTGTTCTACACCAGACCAGTGGAGCCAAACTGCAGCCCATCATCATCCTCATCTGGTTTTAAGTAGGCAATCTAGTATATTATTAGTGACACTAATCTATAATTTACCTCACATTAAAAGGACACTATAGCTTAATGAAGTGGTTCTGGTGTCTATAGCCGGTCCCTGCAGGCTTTTTAATGTAAACACACACTGTGTCTACACTGTGTCTACTGGTGACCCACAAGAGGGGATTGCACTGCACTCTCCTCCTGCCCAGACCTGTCTTTACCGCAGTGCAAGTGCCCTCTGCCCCTAATTTACAATGGCTCACACTCACAGCAAGCAGTGCCTGGAGCCCTTTGCAGCGATGGGAACAAAGAGGTTCTGCGGCAGGTGGCCGTCCTGCAAGCATTACATTAAACAGCTGTGCCCCATGCAGCCACAGGTGGCGCTGTGCTGGGAGAATGTGATTACTCTTCACTTCCTCCCAGCCTACAGCACAGCGCATGGGAGAGGGAGAGGAGGAGGCATGATTTAATCTTACAACAAATCCATTCAGCAAATCTTTGGGGGGATCAGCTCTGTTTGCACAGTTTATTGGTGTTTACTCTGATGTCTGTATTAATATTGAGGGATTTCTAAGTAGTAACATCAGTATGTGTCAGCAGGGCCAGCCGTTGGGGTGTGCAAGCTGTGCGGTCACGTAGGGTGCCATGACAACAGAGGCGCCCGGCGGCCAACACAGCTCACAAGTTGGGGACCCCAGCATATTCAATTTAAATGATCCGCTGGTGGTCCACTGGTGCGCACCAGCTGTAGGTGCAGTCAGATCATATCCTCTCCCTCGTGGTTCTGGCGCTCAGTTAGTGAGTCAGAGCACAGGCTCAGAGATTCTCAGCCTGCGCTCTGACAACATTGAAAGTCAGAGCCGTGAAGGAGCGGGTATGGTAAAGAGCTACTGATTAGCATAACATCAATATCCGTTATAAAACCAGGTGGGCATGGATGGTGAACTGATTTGGTGGTGCAATGGGCCACTTGACTGGTTTTGCCCCCCAGGCCTAAGGCTGCCAGCCCTCCCCTGCCCAACACGCAGAGTTTAGGATAGCAAGGGAGAAACAAAGGAAATAAACGTATTACCGGGACTTAGAGTGGCCAGACTTAATGTTAGAGAGTAAAGTGTAGTCACAATACAAGCCAAGGTCAGGGTGACAGAGAGACAGAGAAAAATAGATCAGTCAGACTGGTAAACATGACAGGCAAGGGTTAACCTCCAAGTCAGGAAACAAAGCCAAGGTCAAATACCCAGTGTCAACCCCCTCCTCCCCCTTGCCCCTCCCCAAATAAACACACACATAGTTGTCCCAGCCTTTTGTTTGCTGATATTGGCAAAACTTTGGGCTGTGTGTTTGATTTTTGTTTATTTCTTTTGTGACATCAGCTGTATATCTTGGACTGTTACATGCAGTGGGGTTTTTTTGTTATTGTTTTTTACTTTACATTACCTTTCCAAATGCAACTTGTATAATGCACAGTTATTCTCTTGTCTTTACTCACCATGTTTTTTTTTTTTTGTATTTGCTTTCCCCCCTCCCCAGTCAAGTAAATTCCCATAGGTTTGGCTGAGACTGAAAAGGAGGCAGATCAGGGGCAGAGCCAGCACAAGTCAAACACAGCCCTGGCCAATTAACATCTCCTCATAGAGATGCATTGAATCAATGCATCTGTATGAGAAAAGTCCAGTGTCTCCATGCAGAGGGTGGAAACACTGAACGGCAGTGCTGCACAGTGTTTACTGCAAGAAGCCTGAAGGGAATGATTCTACTCACCAGAACAAATGCAATAAGCTGTAGTTGGTCTGGTGACTATGTCCTATTAACTTTTTACTAACCAGTCTGGGACAGCACATAATGGTTAGCATGTGATTTGAACAAGGTTATATACAACAAAAACCCATATCAATTATTGCTAACTTTACATTAGTATTCTTGACTGATATCAGTCCATGTAAATGGATTCTGCATAGCTCATTTGCTTCACATTCTTGCAATCCATGGTATACTACTGTCACGAACATGGGCTATTGACACAGCCGAGGCAGTGGGAAGAGTGTGAAAGTGAAAGGTTTAATGACACCAGCAACCACTAAATTAAGCCCTGCAATGCTGTCTACACTAAAACTCTAGTACACAATTTTACCACATGACAGGAGGCTTCATATTTTGCATATAACTCTCTTTACTAACTCCACATAGCAGTAAAGAAAAGTGAAAACATAAACCAATCAAAAATGCAGTAGGAGGTATAGTATTCACAGTGATGAGGCTCCTCCCCCTCTTTCTTTACTGCTCCATCAGCAGACAGGTCAGAGTTTCAAGGCTCTTCCCTTTATATTTACTGTATTCCTGTATTATATGTTATTTGATTTTACTTTATACTGTTTTCTTCTGGGGGACTTCTCCCTCCTGTCCTGGGGGGGTTTTTATTCTTATTATTATGTCTCACTATGTGATTTTGTTCTATTTTGTCTCTGCTCGTTCTTCTTAGGGGTTTCTGTCATCCCTTTTTCTCCCTCCGTTTTTCCCCCGTTTTTGCCGCTGGCCTCCCAGCTTATTTCCCTCAGGGTAACGCTCACCCTGCTCCTAATACTCCCTTGCGGCTCCCCAGCCGCTTTCTAGATCGCCGGCACGCCGGGAAACCTCTTTCCCGGCTCCCCGGCGGCCATCTTGGATCTCGCGTCTCGCGAGATTCTCGGCCGCCATTTTGGGAGTACCGCGGACTGCGCAGTGCCGACCGCCGCCGCAACCCGCTCGTTCCCAGACACCCACACACACATCCCGGCCGTCTGGGGTGTGTTATACCGTTCTGTGCTGACGGCTTGCAGACCGCAAAGAAGTACAACTGGCAGGGGTCACTGGCATTCTTATTATTGGATTCAGAGGCTGCTGGCCCTATTGAGTGGTGAGTCCACTATTATTGATTTACTGGGTGGATTTTGTGCCACCTACAATTCTAACAGGGTGAGGCCCTTATTTCACTGCTGCCATCAGGTGGATTTTGTGCCACCTATGTATATGTATATGGTAAGGGGCTTCCCAACCCCATCTTAACACCAGATTGAGCGGATTTCGTGCCACTCTCACTGTCATATACATTTCTGGGTGAGGCCCAGCAAGAAAACCCAATTTACCCTGCTGGGGTCTCTGGTGCTTATTGTACCTGTGCTATCACACATCCTGCTGGGGTGTTGTCATTATTATTACTGAATCCATACTCTACTACCTGACCCCTAGCCCATCTACCCTGTGCCAACACAAAATCACTATGGAAGCATCCCAAACCCCTGCAGACTTCCAGTCTATGATTGCGGACGCCATCTCCGCTTCTATGGAGAAAGCGCTGTCCAGGGTTATGTCGGCATCTACCGACAAATCTAAAAAAGCCACGCTGACCCAACCTCAGGATGAAGACTCTGAGGCCTCTGAGTCACACGTACAGGCGGATCCACGCCCCACCAAACGTCACTGGAAAGGTGAGAAAGCGGGCGATACCCCAGGCAAGGGTAAGGCACCCTCCAAACGCCACAGACCAACCCCACCTACTCCTGCCCACTACTCCTCGGATGAGGGGGACGAACACACGCGCTCTATGGCCGTGTTAGACGAGTGGCAAGCCGCGGACTCTGATTCGCATGATGACAATTGGGACTCAGACCCCGGCTCCCATTCTGGCTTCTTACAAGGCACCTTCCTGGACGACATCCAGTTGCCTGACGACCTCGCACCTGCTCAAGAAGGGGATACCATCCTAGACCCCACGGGGCAACGTCTATTTGACCCTCGTAATATCCGCCATCCACGCTCTGGAGACTGGACCCCCCCGACCACCTCTCCAAATTTATGCACCGCTGGCTACGCAAACCACTTGACAAAACGGTGCGCAACCGTCTACGCTCTGAATGCCCGCGCCCCTCGCTCCCCGACCACGTAACACAGACCCCGGAGTTTGATCAGGTGATGAACACCTTTATGTCCCGAGGTGGCCGCGACCCTCGGCGGGGCGTGGAGAAAGGATTCCACGGGGTCCAGGATAAACTGCTGGACTCAATCGGCCCACTCTCCCGCATATTGTACCTGGCGGATGATGCGTTCACTAGGGCCGATCAATTTGACTCTAGCATGGTCAAAGAGTGGGCACATGATATTAGAGAATGGGCACAACGGTGCTTCTGTTTTGTTGGTAACACCAACGTAGCCCTCTCCTCTGAGAGGCGCAAGGCAGCTTTACTCCGTATTGACGGAAAACTGGTGGATTTGGGCACCAAAGAGTTGGGACCGTTGGCACAGGGCAAATTGTTCGGAGAACCTTTCTTAAAAGAGCTGAACAAGCATGTTAACATCTTTACGTCCCTCAATAAGGCTCAGACGTCTCAGAGGCTACCCCAGTCGGGGTGTTTTTGGACGGGCTGGCCGCTACAGGGGCCGAGCAGCCAGCCGATTCTGGCCTTCTGGCCCCCGGTCACACAGACCACAGCCTTTCTACCCGGAAGTGGGTTTCAGGCAACCCTTCTCCTACACCCGAGGAGCAGACCGAGGCAGAGGACCTCGTAACCGTGGCAGAGCACGCTTCCCCACAGGTAAGCAATCTAGTGTCTCTAGTTTCACTTACCCCTTACACTGCAGGCCGTATTGCTCTGTCTTTTCAGAACTGGACGACCATCTCCACGGACGCATGGATCCTCCAGACAGTTCGGGGCTACGTCGACGGCGAACTACGGGAGCTCAAGGCGAAAGGAGCGATAGAACCGGCTCACGACGGAAAGGGCTTCTTCAGCAACATTTTCCTAGTAAAAAAGAAATCAGGAGAATTCCGTCCTGTTATAAACTTGAAGGGACTCAACGCTTTTGTAACGTACAGGCACTTCAAGATGGAAGGCATTCACCTGCTGAGAGATCTACTCCAAGACAGGGACTGGTTTACGAGACTGGACCTCAAAGATGCTTACCTGTCGGTCCCCGTCCATGGGTCTTACCGCCAATTTCTCAGATTCCTATGGCAAGACCAACCCTGGCAGTTCACATGCCTCCCCTTCGGCCTCAGCTCAGCGCCGTGGTGCTTCACCAAGCTCCTCAAGCCGGTAGTATCACAACTACGAACTCAAGGAATTCGTTGCATTATCTACCTGGACGACCTGCTACTATTTTCCTCAGACAGGTACAGTCTAACACAACACACACGATATACCATTCAACTCCTGACGTCCCTAGGCTTCGTGGTGAACTACCAAAAATCGGAGCTGCTCCCAGCCCAGACGATACATTTCCTGGGCTTCGAGATAGATTCCAAGACCAGCACCTTACGGCTCCCGATCTCAAAGATCACAGCCATAAAGAAGGAACTACGCAGAGTCATCCGCTGCAACACCATCCCACTCCGCAGCCTGGCTCGAATCGTGGGACTGCTGTCCGCATCTATACAGGCAATCTTCCCGGGCCCACTACACTACAGGGCGATGCAACGGCTGAAGGCCTCCTTCCTCCGTCAGAACCCTTCCTACGACCAAACCATTCCGGTAACGGAAGAAGTCAGGGAAGAACTCGGATGGTGGTTGGACAGCATGGAAGCTTGGAACGGCCGAGCCATCTTCGGGAATGCACCCGACATAGTTCTGGAATCAGACGCCAGCCTGTGGGGCTGGGGCGCCACAAGCGAGGGCAGATCAACAGGAGGCACTTGGACTTCCCAAGAAACCAACCTTCACATAAACTGCCTAGAACTCCTAGCGGGGTCGTTTGCGATCCGCAGCTTAGCGAGAGACCGGACAGACTGCTGCATCCTCCTCCGGATGGACAACATCTCAGCGGTCCGCTACATCAATCGCCTGGGAGGAGCCCGATCCAGGCTCCTCTCAGAGATCACGAAGGAAATTTTCGACTTTTGTCTACCCCGGAAAATCTCCCTCATGGCAGAATACCTCCCGGGAGAAACGAACCTGACAGCGGACTGGTTTTCACGCCACTGGCGAGACAGCAGCGACTGGAGACTGGACCCAGCGATCTTCCAGCGCCTTTCGGTCAGGAGGGGTCCCCTCCACCTGGACCTCTTCGCGTCACGCAACAACAGGCAGACAGACGAATACTTCAGCTGGCTCCCAGACCCAGAGAGCAAGGCAGTAGATGCGTTTCTCCAGCCTTGGCCACCCTTGGGGGCGTACGCCTTTCCCCCATTTGCCATGGTAGCCAGGACGATGCAATACCTGAAGACCCAACGCGGATCCCTGCTCCTCATCTCACCCCTATGGCAGGGTCAACCATGGTTTCCGGATCTCCTAGCGTCATCCTACAGAGATCCCCTCCTCATACCGTCCTATCCGATGCTCCTTACGGACCCGAGAGGGAATCAACACCCGCTCATCCTGGAAGACCGTCTCACGCTGGTGGCTTGGACGCTTTCAGGGGAGCCTGGCAAACCGAAGAGTTATCGCAAACATCTCGAGATCTCCTATGGGACTCATGGGCACCAGGAACCAGACGATGTTACTTATCGGCATGGAGCTCCTGGTCTACTTGGTGCAGTGAGCGGAATTTCGATCCCTTTACTGCACCTATAACAGCCATCATGAATTTTCTCTCTCATCTCTTCTCCAAGGGCCGATCTTATCGATCCCTCAACGTCGTGCGCTCCGCAATTTCAGCGGCCCACGTTCCGGCCCAGGGGATCCCCGTCGGGAAAGACCCGTTGATATGCCGCCTCCTCAGGGGCATCAGACTTCAGAGGCCTCCGAAACCTAAATATTCCCGACTATGGGACGTCGAAAACGTCCTACAGTTCCTGAGGGACTGGCCGGACAATGACAGACTCTCGCTCCGACAACTATCAGCCAAACTGACGCTCCTACTTTGTTTGGTCTCATTCCGCAGAGTTTCGGACGTACGAGCTTTCGACATCGATGCCTTTTCGGTCTCCCCGGAGGGAGTTACCTTCCAAGTTTCACGCCGTACGAAATCCGACTCCACATCGGTCTTCTACCCCTTTTTTCCTACAGAACCGCTTCTCTGCGTGGTATCTACCCTACATCGGTACGTAGAGGTCACATCCCGTTTGCGGGTCTCCCCTACGGGCCAACTCTTGGTGTCCTACGTTAGACCACACGTTCCCGTCTCTACCACCACCCTGGCCAGATGGGTAAGATGGATTCTGTCCCTGGCGGGCGTAGAGGAAACCTTCGGAGCCCACTCCGTCCGCGGGGCGGCAGCTTCTTCGGCTTTCACCGCAGGCGCATCCCTGGCAGACATCCTACGAGCTGCAGATTGGTCACGAGAATCGACCTTTCGGACCTTCTACTTCCGACCGAATCGGGGGCAGCCACGTCTCTCCTGCTTCAGCGTTAAAAATGCAAAATATGAAGCCTCCTGTCATGTGGTAAAATTGAAGATTATGCTAGCGCTAGTGTACTTATAATCTTAATTTTAGTAATGACAGGAGGCGAGTATTTTCCCACCCTCCGCACCCTTGGGGGATACGGATCCAAGTAAGTATACTTACTATGTGTATTTCCTTACTTCTTCTATCTTCCTACTCATCTTGTATGACTCAGGCTTGTACCTTGTTTAGTTAAATCTTTGTTATTGTTTACTGTCATATTTATACTAGTTTTCATCTAGTTTTACATCAGTCGGTGGAAATTGTGTTGGGTTTATTACATTACCGCAAACAGTTGCCAGATCGGTACCTAACCTTCTCCACGTTCTTTTTCAGCATAACTTCGGGACATTACAGCTTATGCTCAGGATGGACACGTTCGGGCCGTCCTTCAACCACTAGGACTTCGTATTTGGAAAGTCACCCGTTGGTGCATGTTTCAAGACTTTATGTTTCAAGACTTTATCCGTTTTCAATATTTGTCTCTGATGTCGCTTTCGAAAGAGGGGGAGGAGCCTCATCACTGTGAATACTATACCTCCTACTGCATTTTGATTGGTTAATGTTTTCACTTTTCTTTACTGCTATGTGGAGTTAGTAAAGAGAGTTATATGCAAAATACTCGCCTCCTGTCATTACTAAAATTAAGATTATAAGTACACTAGCGCTAGCATAATCTTCAATTTTACGTCAGACTGCTGCTTCTCAAAGCAGCCACCTATTACAGAAAGTTCAGTAGTATAGTGCTTTGCCAGGCTGCTTAGGGTGTCAGTGGAGGTGCTGGAGAACATAACTTTGTATACATTAGTTACCTAGGCATTGATAATGCTGGCTTTGCTACGTGTGCTTGTATCTGGCTATGCTTTCACTGAGAAACGGGATATAGCTTAGAAAGTTGGGGGTATATGGTGACCTATCTTTAACTCTCTGTTAGTGTAGGGGTTATTACATTTTTCTTTGGGCTCTAGCCACAGGTGTTTCTGTAATCTAGCAAAGCCCATGGTGACTGGCTCCAGCTCTGACACCCAGGATTTTTCTTTGTTATCAGGAGCTGTATATCTTACAATGATATCTAAATATGAAAAGAGTACATTTAGTACGTATTGGAATATGTGTGGTACTCGTTCACTTTATAATCTTTAACTATTGAATCGAACCTGCACATTAAAACAGGTGATTAGCATACTACAGCTAGAACACTAAGCACAGAGCTATCTCATAAAATGCATTGGCAGATTTTCCTCACAGGAATGTATTTTGGTATTGATTTTCCTTTATGTATGTATAGAACCCTAATCTAGTTGTTTTACAGAGATTAGTGATTTTACAAAGTGGACAAGGAAATGATCCTCAAATCTGATTAATGAAAACAGTGCAGTAGTGTATTATCCATATAAATCAGTGATAGACTACAAGTTGGTTGCTTTCTTTTTGAGTGAATGAGTATCTCAAGAGTGACATCATCCAGGTTTAAGGATTATTTCAAGAGTAATATCACCCAAGGTTATAATCCCTGAGAAAGAAAAGCTAGAATTTGCAGTTACTGAATAATTATCATTAGTACATATTTTCTATATATTACCTGTGCAAACTGCAGCTTCCATACACTTGATGATGTTAACTTGCCAGCTCCAGATCTATGCATTGCTGCCATTGTATATATTTCCACTGTATTCTTCTGCTTCGATCTTAGAAGTGCTAAAGAAGTTCTTGTATTAAGTCCAGAAGGATTAGGATTGCATGAGCTGATACACCATGAAGCATAAACAGATGACTTGAGGGATGCTTGCTCTGTGTGGCTTGGTTTTGCATAATTTAGAAAGCACCAGCTAACTGTTGTTGTAGTACGTAGGCTAGGAAATTGAAGAATCTGTTGAAATTCTGCCCCATCTTTTAGAAGACTCCTTGAAGATCCCCCTATTCCACTGGAACTATCAGACATTTGAACAAATATACCAGCAGATGGCTTCTGACTTTTCAATGGCTCATCCTCAATAAATTCACTTGGTGTCCTCTCAGGGCTTAAACTCATATCTGATGATGTCTCCTCATTGTAGAACTCATCAGGTGACATTCGACCTTCTGGGCTATCACTGTTCTTACATTCAGGTAATTCTTTGTCTACAACAGTAGAAACTGATGCTGCAGGTGGCGGTGATTCTGTTGCTGAAGAGAGACTGTCCTTTTGCTCAGTAGTATGACCTTGCCTAACCAACTGAGGTTTGGATGTCCGTGGCAGGTTCTTTTTAATGTCAGAATTTGTAAGTTCAACAGCACTCAGTTCCTTAACAATCTGCCCATACATCTTTTCCTCTTTGACTCGCTTTTGCTGTTTGGTTTCAATGAAAAGTTCCAAACTGCTCGCTGGAGAAAGCATGCGTTTTCCACCTCCAAAAGTGGAAGCACTCTCAGAGTTGGAAGTTAAACACAGAGGAATTTCAGATTCCAAACCAAGTGGTAATGTCTGTGGCACTTTCCACAGGGGATATTGTTCTATGTCTTTGCAGGGTGCTAACATCTTGGCTATGTTGAATCCCAAATCTTTCATAGATGCTGTTGTTGCCAGTATCCTCTGTGATGTACTCCCATCCACTCTGCATATTACAAGTGTTGAGTTTTTAGTTTGTGCATGTGTTACAGCAATTTGTGAAATGCTAGTATACATTACACTTCCATACGATGGCACATTAGTCTGAATTCTGACAGGGACAATAGCTCCTGGAATAGGCTGAATAGAACCAATATCAGGGGAAGCAGAAACTATCTGAAGGTGCTGATCAGACGTGGAATCACTTGAGCCTCCACTGTGGTCTCTCTGTAGTTTTCCAAGCATAGCTTTTGATTTTTGTGTGGATGGTTCTAAATATGGCTGGTAGATTGTTTCCATCCCATGGATGTAATTTATTGGCTTACAACCAGTATGCTCCTGAGTAGATTCAAAATAAAATGAAGGGTGTGACTCTGATTGGATAGGTGGTTTGAAATATGATTTTATCTGATGCAAATTTTGTTGGAAATGTCTCTGTAAAGGATCTATACAAGTGGGCCACAAAAGTGGGTGGTGGGATGGTATGTGAGACATACACACAGAGGTATAAGGTAATTGAAATGCATTGTGAACGGGAGGGTACAAAATCTTCTCAGGATGTGAAAATGCATGTTGCTGTTTAGATGTATGTCTTTTGGGGATATATGAAGATTGAGGGGCAAAAGAATGTCTTAATGCATCATGGCTACTAATGGGCTGCTGTGAAAAGTGGGGTGAGGTACTCATAGGTTGTCCAGAAATTCCAACAAGTACGTTTCCAGAATCTTCAGTAGAATGTCCTGTCGAGCCTGATAATGACGTTGAAGGTGAATGATGCCAACCTGTCTGTGGAGACTTGCGAGAAGTGTGCTGCTGATCTGCTGATTCTTGATTACCAAGTTCTTGTTCTGTCTGTGCATTTTCAGGAAAACCACTAAAAGAAGCTTGTCGTACAAGAAAACATTTTTTCCTCTCACGGGCTGGGGATAAAGTTGTAGTGGTTGCCCCAGCCCCTGAAGCATGGGCAAGGTTACCGTAGTCAAAAGATTTACTACGAATCTCAGGGATTTCAGTTAGTATAGGGCATGGTATTTGTTCTGAAGAGGAGCGCCTCATTTCTTTTTGATGGTGGCCTGGCACAGAGAGAGAATAGGAACCAGGAGGAACTGTTAAAAATTCTGCATGCCTTCCTATTTCATCTTGTTTCGTAGGAGTTGCAGATTTCATGAGTTCTTCCCTCTCAAATGACATTGACAAACTTGAACTATGAGATAAGTTACTCTCCTGACTTGGGCTTCGGGAGAGACTTGTGCCTGTCGACTCAAAGCTTGATTCACCAGATGAGTTATCCATGTCTGCCAGACGTAGACGCTTCTTTTTTGGTGGCAGTTTCTCAGCAGGGAGTTGAGAAAGGGTTTCACTTCTCTGAGGCCACTGAAATTCTTCAGTTGTCTTTTCAGGTTCTTTAACTGGAATTTCTACTTCCTTCTCTGGCTTGTCTGGCTCCTCTGTCACACGAATCTCAGGTACTGTGATATTATGCTGGCGGACCAATCTAGGAGGCATGTGATATACTGACTGTTGTGAGAGCTGAGATGGAGATGGCCGGCCTGTAACTTCAGGATTTTCAGTTTGCTGTGTCCAGTCTGGACTCATTGAAGACATTGTATTCCCACTATCAGAAGCCTCAGAAGGTGAACAAGCCTTATCTTGATTGCACGTTAGAAGTTCCGTAGACTCAGACCTTTCAAAAGAGTTTGGTCTGCTCAGAGAATTAGTGTGCTGAATTACAGAGATGACATTACCAGGGGGTTTTCTACTGATTATTTCTGTCATTTTTTCTGGATCAGTACCAGAAGAGGATTCATCTAATATAGAAACAGGACTACCAGGCTGTACATGTGATCTACACATATCAAAACGTTCCACTTGCGTTCCATATGGGTATTCTTGCCCTGAATCAACAAACCTGCTCCTTGAAACATCATTTTTTGTATCATAATCTGATATGAGTGGACTACCAATTCCACTGCAAGGCATTGGACTATCCTCCTCATCTCCAACACTTTTTTCCTTTCTGCGCTTTCGGTTTTCAGCGACTGTTCCAAAACGAGAGACTATAGGTCCTGTAACATCAGTAAAGTAATCTCCAACCTGTTTGATTCCACCAATTTGCTGCATATCTCTGTATCCTTGTTTGTGACTTTCAAATTCCTCCCATCTTTTATGGTGCACACCTGAGACATTACATTCATACATTAACCTTTCCATTTTCTTTTCTTTAGATAAAGACTTTTCATGCATGCCTTTCCTGTTGTAAGCAGCAGCTGCATTCTTGGATGCCCTCCCATAAGTATCAAAATCAGAATGACCCTGCATGACTGAAGGCAGTTCAAAAGCTTCTTGCCGTCTTAAAGGGCGTGGATGTGGGATGCCCCCTGTCCCTGGATAAAATACATCATCTGAGCCAGTCATACACTCATCAAATGAATGACTTCCTCTTATCGAAGGGGGAATGCTTAAATTAGTTCCAGAGGATGTTGGCATGGAGTTGCTTCTTATAAGTGGTGAGCTGTCCCCAGGTGTTGCTAAAAGCACTGCCGTCTGGCCATGCTGAATTTCTTGATAAAGCTTAGCTTCAATTTCAACAGGTTCTGTCATAAGATGAGATTTATGTATTTCAGGACCATGGATTCCAGGCAATCTGTATTTCACACCTCTAATTTTGTCATAGTCTAGGATGCCTTCCCTCTTTGTAATAAGATGTGACATATGTTCCTCCATAATAACAGTGTTTACAATTGGGTAGTTAGCATCCTGGCTTGGTACAGAGGATCTTGGACTCAGTCTGCCATATTTGCCAAATATAATTTCCTCATATGATGTTGCATTGGTATTTGGGGGGCTGACTTGCTGTTCAGCACTTTCAGAGCGAGAAAAGTAACCCGAATCTGTGCTCCCTTTACTGTGGGGGCTCAGTAGATTTAATGTTTTGTCTGGATCTTGCACTTTCTTTTCAGTCAGCCTTAATGCAAGTTTTTGTCTAACTGTGTGGGAATCATCGGTTTTACCACTCAGTGATTGATTGAGCATTATCTCAGATGCCATAAATTGGGCACTTTCACTTGATAATTGAATGCCACTTTTGGGGATTATAAGTATTGGCACTTTCATTGGACCAATTAAGGACTCATCTGAAGACACATGGAAACCTGGATCTAAAAACTCTTCACTTCGAACACTTATGTCCAGAGGAATTTGTGGAGATTGGCTCAGTTTTTCAGAGTCTTCAACCAGCAACAATGTCTCTTCATCTGTGTCAGTGCTCTGTTCTCCATCAGAATGTATTTCTGTTTCCACATCGATGCAAGACGCATCTAAATCTAATTTTGAAACAGCTGCATCTGTGAAAGGAACTAGCCCAGCTTTGATAGCATGGGCATGAGACTTTCTGTGCTTGTATAAATTGCTTTTTGTTTTAAAAGAGAAACCACAGGGGACACATGGGTATGGACGTTCCCCTGTGTGAGACCTGATGTGTTTCTTCAGTACACTAGGTTTGGCACAAGCCCGTGTACAATACGGACATATATATTTGCCAGGTTTTTTGGGCTTCTGCTCTTTTTTATGAGTATCTTCTGATTGTTCAAGAGACTTTTGGGAATATTGGCTATAAGATGTAAGTCCTGTAATTTTCTTTCTGGGGAATGCTTGACTAGGTCCATGCATTCTGAAAAACAAGTCCTCAGAGGCAACAGATAAGTGACTATGAAATGGGTAGGCATGTCCTTCCAGGCTCTGGTGTGGTTTTGTGCTGTGCACTAACCTCTGTTGGTGGACATTATGTTGAGGAAAAGAAAGGGAATGCCGCTGGCCATAGGAACCATGGCGCTTCTGTGCGTATTGCTTATCTGGGATATGCTGCACACTTTCACCCTGTGAAACTGCTTTCAAAGAACCAAAATGCTGTGCTGATGTGGGGTTTCTGATGCTCTCAGGGTTGACTGGCTGCTGCCTCTCTCCCTCTTGACTGCCATAATTGCTCATTGCAGCCACTGCTGGATTTTCCTGTCTCCATCTATTTGGTACTTTTTCAGACTCACCAGACCTTGAGGTAGCTTCTTGCCCTAGATTTGTATCTTCAGAGTCCATTTTTGATAGTTCTTGAGTGCTAGCTTACTTTAATGCTGTACAGACACATTGATTGTGACGGGTTCCTTCTCAAATTGGCATTGTTTCCATGTTCTTGGAAGCCCTTCCAAGTTAGCAAGTTTATATATCAGTATCAGCTTTTCCACTTAGTAGGATATGAGTATTATACAGGAGTTCTATACATGACCAACATTGTTGATATTATTCCAAGCACTTCATATGGCCTTGAAAGGGTCTTTTGGTGCAAATTGACACAGGTTCTGCAAAGTCACTAAAGTGTAGTTGTCATCAACATGCTAATGCACAAATAATCTAGAAAAAAAAAGATAAAAGTAGAGGTCAGGTTACGTTAATATTCTGGTTCAAACATTATCCCAACCTATCATAAAAAAAGCTATATCTAATTTATTATTATATAATGAAAAAAAGAAGATTGTAGTTTAAAAGTTATGGTTAAATGAGTAATGACTACAATTCGGTTGCTTACAGAAAAGCATTATGCACCATGGAATGTACACATGGTGAAGATTTCAGCAAAAAAAGCATTCTTGTATTGTCTGTACTTTCCATATTAATGTTTGGCAGAGGCCAAGATACCTTTTTTAAACTAAATTACACCTAATTAGAAGGTACATAAAAAGTCTAAGACTAATCTCACTTAATTATTTTTTTTTATTGACACATCAATATGAACACATACAAATAAATGTGGTTTGTTTACTCAGTAAAAGACTCAGATTATGTAAAATTGCATACGTGAATTTTATTTTATTTTTTTCTTGATTTGATAGATCTCCTGCATACCATGTAGCTTCTTCAAACCTGTATTCAGGACAGGGCTACAGCGAGATATAAATATAGCAATGCTGTGTCTGATAAACAGCATAAGGCTGGTGTACAGCAGGTAATTTGAGGTTGCTGGAAATGTAACAGGTAAGCATGCATAAATCATAATTTGTAATAATCATAAAAGAAAACACAAAGGAAAAAAACACCAGCAATTTGTGTATAATTTGAGTTATTTTTTTTGCCACAACACCAAATATTTTCATACTTTGCTGCTATTCCATCAGATTTCATTTCAGACAAACAAAGAGATTCCAGGTTTAACACAATATGTAAATTAATTTCAAATGTTAATGTATTACTGAAATACATTACTCTAACACACCTCAATTCTCAAGTGCTGGATACTAATTTATACTGCACACCTACTGAACTGTAGACTACTGGCATAAATATGTGTAGTGTGTGTTACATACCTTTGCATTTGGAATTACATCTTTAATCTACTTATAGCCTATTACATCCATTTAGAAATTAACATAATCTGATGGCATTAAATACTGCATTATGGTAGATACCGGTACTTTAATATAAAGGCAATAACTGATTCAGAAAATATGGTACATAGATGGAGTCTAAGTGTGAACAAAAAAAAACTAAACATGGTTATGGTTTTATATGGATTTCAGTATGCGCTTTCACACCAAACTGGCTTAACTTAAATGTCAAACAGTCATCCAGGTTTTAGACAAGTGGTTTGGTGAACCATGTATAACATTGTCATGCAGCTAATTACATTCTTAACAGGGCCAGACTGGACATACCAGGTAATTTCCCAGTGGTCCGGCCGATATGCAGCTGCTTAGCATGGGCCAGGGTGCACACGGCGCAATTGCAGGGTAACCAGCAGGAGGGGAAGCACTCCCCTCCTGTCGGTCACTGCATGTAGCATGGCCAAGAAGCGGACCTGGTTAGAGGAGATTCTCTTCCCCTACCAAGTCTGACAGGATTGTACAGAGAGTGCCAAACTGCTTACTGTCAGACCAGGTAGGGGAACAGAAGCTCTTCTACCCCGGTCTGTGGCTCGGTATGCTACGTGGAGGTACAGAAAGGGGAGGGGGGAGTGATACACATGGAGGTCCTGAGGGAATGGGCACATGGAGGGACATGGAAGGTCTGTGGGGTAAATGAGACACATGGAGGGGCTTGGTAGGAAATGGAACACATGGGAGGCTGAGGGGGATGGGACACATGGGGGGGCTGTAAGGGAAATGGAACATATGGAGGGGCTGTAGGGGAAATGAGATACATGGAGGTGTTGGGGGGGAATGAGACACATGGTGGTGCTTGGGGAAAATGAGACAGCTGTAGGCTAATGTGACACATGGAAGGGCGGGGGGAAATGAGAAATGAGGAGGGGCTGGGGCAAGAATGAGACACATAAAGGTGTGGGGGGAGACACACAAAGGTGCTTGGGGGTGAAAGACACACAGAGGGGCAGGGAAGCCAAACAAAAGACACAGAGTGGCTGGGGAAGGGTAGAATGAGACACACCGAGAGGCTGTGGGGAAAGAGAGACACAGAGTGTCTGGGGAAGGGGATAAATAGACAAAGGGACTGGGGTTAAGAGACACATGAAAGGGGCTTGGGGGAAAGAGACATACAGAGGAGCTGGAGAATGGGAAAAACAATGGGATTAAGTAAAAGATAGCCAAAGAGTGGTTTAAAGATAAACAAGAAGGGTGTAAGATACACAAAAGGGAAACATTGTAGATAAAGTACACTAAAGCAGGTAAGAATCAAAAGAGGGGATAAGAAGCACAAAAGGGGGCAAGAAATTCAAAAGGGAGGTTAAGAGAAACAAGTGAAATTTTTTTTGCCAAAGAGTTGATTGAAGTGTGAGAGAAAGACGTCTTATTAAATTGATAATATTGTCACAAGAACCACTACAGTTTAATGTAGTGTTTCTGGTGTCTACAGCCTGTGCTTGAAGGCTGAGTACTGTAAACACCTTTTCAGAGAAAGTGTTTACATTGCTGCCAAGAAACACCTCTAGTGGCAGTCACTCATATGGTCACTAGGGTTGCCTCCTACTCCAGTACTGCGCAGTGTGCAGCACTTACGTTGAGTGTCTCCACGCTCTACATGGAGGTGGTGAACACTACCGATAGAGATCCATTGATTCAATTGATCACTATATCTGCAGGGTCAAGCAAGCTATTAACAGAGCAGGAGATAAGACATTCTAAATTAAACAGAATTTGCAATAAAGGGCGTGTTAACATAAGATAATTCTTTACAGGAAGTGTTTAGGAAGGCTTTGTAGTCACATGAAGGGAGGTGTGACTAGAGATGTATAAGCAAAGTGATTTAACTCCTAAATCGCAGAGAATTGAGCAGTGAGACTGTCGGGCCAGGATCTATACACCAAAACTGCTTCATTAAGCTAAAGTTGTTTTGGTGACTATAGCGTCCCTTTAAAGGGAATGTGTTAGGAAATCAAATCTGTATTTCTCTATTGTCCCCCTCTCCCTTGCACCCTCCCCCACAGAATGTAAAAGGTTAGAAATCCCTTTAGTCACTTGAAGTCCCTCAGCGCTGGGTTGTAGCTTTGTTTGAGTTACAGGGAAAGTAGGAGACACAGGCAAAAAATGCATTTCCCCATACCACAAAGAAAATCATCTTCACTTGTTTCTGTTTATGATTGTACAACTTTATCCGACGGGGAAGAGTGAGTTTCTAGTGCGCATGTGTGGCTAGCTCCTCGACCGCAATAGGCCCTCTCATTCTTCAATGATTTCCTATGGGGATTTCACTGATGCAGAGCATGAGGACATCTCCAGTATCATTTAGAGGACCTAGAGTCTGTAAGCAGCCAGGAAGTGCTTCATGTGGCTGCCTGATTGACAGCCACTAGAAGCAGTCCTGCATGGTAATTATTGTAGTTTCTAAAAAATTGTAATGATTTACATTGCAGTGCTAAGTGGGAAAGGGACCCTGTACCTAGACCACTTCAATGAGATGAAGTGGTCTGGGTGCCTATAGTGTGCCTTTAATGTTTAGTGGTATGAAAAGACAATTTCTCTTTAAGAATATAAAAAAAAACAGACTAAAACCAAACATCACTGTACAAAACCAATAAAGAAACAAGAAGCTAAGCACACACACAGTTGTAAAGAAAATACTTATGTTAAAGAAGGGAGGGCAGGATCAAAATAAAAAATACAAGTAAAAGAATGTCATGGAGTATAAAAGTGTAAAACGTATAAATTACATAATTAAGAAAGAAAATCCTATTTGAAATTACTAATGTTAACTTATCGTTGCTATCATATCTTTTAGTTCACTTGTGCCCTGGCTAGGTTTGTGCACTTTCAGTTCATCTTTTGCCATGAAGAGAAAAAAAACTTTAGAATCATTAACATCAAAGAATGTTTAACAAATATCTCTTCAATACCTGTGTCCGTCTGAAATTGCACACGCATGGCTGTACCGAAGTTCTCCCTAAAATAAAAACATAAAGTCCAGTTAGCCGTTGGTTATTAGTTTCTTTTTAAACAGGAAAGAAGCCCTTGAAGCATAGAAAAAAGGAAGGGACAATATACTAAGTTCTACTAAATTCCCTTACACATAGGTTTTTGGGCAGATGTCATGTTTGCATAATGGAAATCATTGCAACCAGCTGCCAAGAACAATAAGCACAGGAAATGAATGGTGAAAGTTGACTTATTTGCTCTCTGTATGATCATATGCCATATCAGACTCTCTGAATTAGCACAGACCACGTTAGTAGCTGCCTACCTTTATTTTCTAAAGAGAACTCATATTTCAGGTTATTTGCTGAAATACAGCACTCAAAATGTGATTAAATCTGGATTCTAGCCTGACAAAGACCACACTATATTGTATCATGTAAGTATAAAGTGAAATCTATTGCAATGTTCAGTTCAAAAACCCTGTTTTATGCAGCTTTTTTTCTACAGTGATTTACACTAACAATCCATAAAAAACATCCCACACCTACATTTGGTCAGTATTTCAGTTGACATAAGGCTAAAATACCATGACATAAATAACTATTATTAGTACTATGATTATTATAAGAGAGGTATGTGTTTACATTATTATTATACTGGATATGTTGAGAAGTTTCATAAGAAAAAAGTTGTATACTTCTACTATAACTGCTGAAGGCACCTGTTAAATATGTTTCC